TTTTGAGAATGATGATGGCAACAAATGTACAAATGTGCTTGATACAATGGATGGATGGATTGTGATAATAGTTGTACCACCCCTCAATAAAATTATTTTTTAAAAAGATTGGCTAGCAAGCCGTGGGAGAGTGCCTTCCCAGGGGAGGACTCTAACCCCGCCCTTGGGACAAGAGGAGGAAGTTTAAGACTGGGCGGCCACCCTCTGTGTACTGAGTATTTTTTGACAGAGGTCTCATCTCACTAGCTGCCCTGCGGGAGAAAGTTGCGGCAGATGGCTTCCAAAAGGATTTGCCATCTTGTAAATCCTAGGGAGAGGAACCCTGGCGGCGGAGTGGTGACGCTAAGGGCTGCAAACAGCAAAGTCAGCAGTTTGAAACCACCAGCTGCTCCTCGGGAGGAAAAGGAGGCTTTCTCTTCCCGCAAAAAGTTAGTCTTGGAAACCCACGGGTGCAGCCCTGCCTCGTACTTAGGGTCACTACGAGGCGAAATCCTATGGAGTAGCTCTGTCCTGTCATGTAGGATCAGTAGGTATAGGACTGGACTCACAGGAAGTGGGTTTGGTTTTTTGGTTTTTCCAAAAAAGGTGCCAGCAGCCCCATTTTATGGACCAGGAAGTACAGGCACAGGGGAGATGATGGGCGTGGCCCCGCACCCTCCAGCCATGAATGAGGAGCTCCTGCTCAATGGCAGGTGAGTCAGTGCTCTGGCCACTCCTCCCTCCTCCTCGTGAGACACCCCCACCCCACCCCCGCCGCATGGGTCTCATGGCTTCTCTGCTCCCTTTCTTGGTTCTTGAAGGACACCATTTTTTCCCCTCCACGAGTTCTTCGATTTAGGGATCTTTTCTCCAGATGTGACCACTGTCAGGTTAAGGATTGGCATGCTAACCACGAGGTCAGCGGTTTGAGCCCACCAGCGGCACCGCGAAAGAAGGATGAGGCTGTCAGTTCAGCAACCCCTAGGAGTCCGAATGGACTGCGTGACTGTGGGGTTGGTGACCGTCTCTGCCAGCCACTGGGACTCTCCTTGATCCCCTCCCATTCACTGCTTGTAGCCAGCAAACAATGGTGAATGGTCTCCTCCTGAACTAGCGCACTAACTTTTGGAGGTCAACAGGGAACATGCTGGTGAGATTGTTTGCTTCTCCAAATATACAGTTAGGAGACCAAGTTGAAATGATCTTAATCCAAGAAATCTATCTTCTAGAATCAGACCTAATGCTTAAAAAAAAAAAAAGAAGCATACAGTTGGTTACCTTGGCTGTTCTGTGCAGGTTGAAATATTCATCAAAATTTTTCACTGACGTCTCTGTGAAGGCATCCCGGACCATATCTGATCAAAGACAGGCAGCACAGTGAATGTAGGTAGACTCAGCTACAATCTTCGCCAGTGCAAGAGTGAAGATAAAAGGGAAGAAACGAAAGGTGCGGCCCTTCCTGTGGTCTATGCTTTGAAACCATGTAGGTGTACAGGCCACTGCCCTGTAGGCCTTGCTATCAGACAGAGCGCACCGGAGCATGAGCTAATGCAGATGTAGTTAGGTTTAAAAAAATTAACACCACTATCATGTGTGCTCCCTTTTGACCAAGTTTAAGTTTGTTATAGGTTTTGGGGTTTTTGAAAAGTATTGTCTGCTTTTTTGCAATTGGAGTATTTATCTGTTTTCTTTTATTATTGTTGTTGGAGTTGTTTTGGGTCTGTTTTCTTCGTATGAAATCTAAGAGATATACAGCTATAGAGACAGTAACTGGATTAAAAGGTTATGGTGGGGGTGTTGGGGAAAGTGGGGAGCTAATAATGAGTACAGTGAACCCGCGCCACTTCGCGCTTCGACTTCCGCAGCTTCACTCTATCGCTGTTTTTGCGTAACAGGTGCATGCTCTGTCATTACTGCCACTGATTGGCTAATACTGTACACGCTTGATGCCAAAAATAATATAATAAATAATAAATGATAATTGTAACGTCCAAAAAATGTTTTACTGTATTTTCCCTTTTTCGTTTAATAAATTGGGTAATATGAGTGTAATGGTGACTAAAGGGTGTTTTTTCATGTCCTCTATGCTCTAACTACGAAAATATTTGATTTACAAATAAGGAATCCTACTTCGCGGAATTTCATTTATCACGGTAGGGTCTAGAACCGATTAACCGTGATAAACGAGGGTTCACTGTATTACAAGAATGAAGAAAATTTTCTAAAACTGATTGTGGTGATGATCCCACAACTCTTTAATATGTTTAAACCACTGAATTTTATGATAGGTGAATTATATATCAATAAAACTTAAAGTGAAAAAGAAAGTAAGTACTGCTGTGTAATCTTCTGCCATAGATATATGAATGAATTTTGAGCTTGCACTTAATTTTAGCTCCAATTGGAGAAAAATTAGTTCTTATGACCAAGTCCTGCTTGATGCTTGCCTACAAGAAGAGAACAGTAAAGATAAGTGTGCTATAGTAAAGTGTGATGAAGAAACTAGATGGTGCCCAGCTGTGAGAGACAATAGCCTCTGGGCTATTAACAAGCAGCCGTTTAAGTGAGGTATCAACTAGTCCACGTGGAAGAAGTATACCAGGCAGTGTGAGCCAAGGACTATAAATAACATCATCCAAAACTGAAAGAGGGATTGGTCTAAATTGTGAACACCTGGCTTGCAGAAGGTTCTGGATGAGAGTAGAAGCCCAAAATCCATTTGCAGGGTCCGCACATGGATTAAGCTTCGGGTGAATCCCCTCTAACCATAGTCCAGGGGTGCAAATGGCCTGACTAATCAGACAGAGAGCACTGTAAAATTGATGTGACAGATATAGTGGGGATAAAGTGTAATGTAATTTGATCTCCCTTTTAACCCATTTAAAAGTTGTTTCAGTTAAAAAAACAGTGAAGGGGAAATACACGTGGATTAAGTATCCAATCAGACCAGGGGTGTGATTAGACTTGCTTTCATGCAGAATACATTGGAAAGTGCAGAATGTGTTGGAAACTGCATATCGCAGTTACAGTTAGGTTAAAATCTAACACCTTACCTACCATTTAACCTTCCATTTGACTCATTTCCATATCCAGTACACTTTTGGTAAAAAACCAAAGATTGGTATGTTCTGGAAAGGCACCAGAGTAGGCTTTGTCTTTTTCAGTGTGTTTTTCAGTATATGGAATCCAGGCCAGACAAGCCTAGAGACAGTCACTGGGTGAATGGTTTCGTAGGGATATGGAAAGGCAGTTTGGGGGAAACAGGGAGGTAACAACAGTGAGCACCAGAAGGAAGAAAACATCCCTAAAATGAGTGTGGTGATAAGACTGAACTATTGAATTGTATGATATGGGGATGATTTGCCGATAAAAGTATTTGAAAAAAAAATTGAATGGGATTTTTCCACCAATGTTTTGAAGTCCTTCATGTACACACACACTCTCTCTCTCTCTCTCTCTCACACACACACACACACACACACACACACACACACACACAGAGTTTCAAATCGTTGGTGGAAAATGGAACTGAATGATAAAGGAACTTGAAGGCCCTCCTACCTACGCCAATTAGTGTGAACTTGCTGCAGGCAACTGCCTTTGGGAATAGAATCTGCTCCTTCTCTTCCTTCTCTGCCCCAATCCTCTCTTTACCAGCGGGGTGCAGGGGGTATTGCCATCGTTGTTAAAATGTGACTTAGAAGTCAACGTTTTCTGAACTTAGAAATGGAGGCGCATGAGGGGACTTCAAAACGCTCATGGGAAAATCCCATGGTCTCTTCACTGCATTTTCCCATGAACTTTCTGAAGCCCACTTGTCCCAGCATGGCAGAGAGTGTGCTAATGATCTGTTTCAGTGACTCTGCCCGTACATGCCTCGGTCAAAATAATCCTCATGTGACAAATAAATATTTAATCATCTCTTTGAGGACAGAGAGCCTGCCCCTATATCAGGCTCTAGTAGCTAAGAGGAATTCCACCGAATTCCAGCTGTGTCCAGCCTACCCCACCCCCACCCCCACCCCCGCCACCGAGACTGCTCACGCAATGTCACCACCTGAACTCTTTAGATCTGAATTTGGACTCGTGCGTGTCCGACCTGGGGCTTTGTCAACTGATTTTAAAGTAAAATCTCACAAGACATTTCGTCCTTCCCACTCTTTTTCCTTCCAAAGCAGTCGGGTGAACTGTTTTGTTTAGATTTAAACATTTTTGCTAAAGAATTAAATTAAAACAACAACAACAAAAAACCCTGGCTGAGCTTTATCCAACATTTAAAATTTACACTCTAAGTTTAAATGGCTGCCATGAAGGTGACTTCCAGAAAGCCGTTTATTAATGTCTTATAAGAAAATGTCAGTGATCTTGCAAACAGATCAGACAGACTCTATGTGGCCACATAATGAGTTTTCCAAAAAGAAATGCACAAACAAGCTCTTGTTGAAATCAGAAATTCTATGATTCTTCTTTTTTAGAAATGTGTATTTTCGTCATTCCACTTCTTTACATGTGACAATTTGTTATAGATCCCCCATATCTTATCCTTCTAAAACATGAATTTCCATAGAGTATATTAATGTTTTTGGGTTTCATTTTTTAATTTATTAACTGGGAGTTAATACATATGTTACATCACTCCATAATTCAATCACATATATTAACTTTTAAAAAGTGTTTTCCAATGATTTTATGACTCTAAGTATTACAAATAATCTTCTGGGTTGAATCCTCTCTCTCTCTCTCTCTCTCTTTCCCTCGCTCTGCCATTGAGTCTGGTTCATCTCAGAGCCACCCTAGAGGATTGGGGAGAACTGCCCCATGGGTTTCCAAGACTGTAACTATTTTGGGGAGTCAAAAGCCTTGCCTTTCTCCTGGGGGTGAATTAGAAATACATAAGCAATGAAAGCAATGCCACAAGGATCCTGGAGTCTAAGGGGATTTGAAAAACTTGGAGGGAAAACGCTGGTTCCTTTGACTTCCATTTCCCCTGATGGAGTAGTGGTTGGAGCCTCGGAAACCCACAGGGGCCGGTCTCCCCTGTCCCACGGGCTCACGATGAGTCGACCGGGAGTTCTGCGCCTTCGTAAATTGCTGACCTTCCTTCTAAGAGACTCCAGATGAACAGGGGACTTGGGGAGGGAGGAACACCCACAGGGTCAGGAAGCAAGGAGGACAACTCTGTAGTGCCACCCTGGCACTGGTCCAACCCTTTCCGTGTCCTGGAAGCAAAAAGTCCGAATGTGCAACACAGAACTCACCAGTCACTTTGTGAAGCATGTCCAGTGCTGGGTCTTGCAGTTTCTTGATTTGTTGCTTTACGATCGTCTCAAATGTCCGATAATTCACAAAGCCCGGCAGCTCTCTACCCCGATACTGATTTTCAAATCTCCATATCTCATCGCACATGGCCTTATAACCTAAACCAGAAAGAATCACTCTGAACTATTTTGAAGTCTATCATCATGGTGGTGTAGTGGTTACGCACCGGGCTGCAATTCACAAGGCCAGCAGTTTGAAACCACCAATTGCTCCTTGGGGGAAAGGAAGGGCTTTCTATTTCCGTAAAGAGTTACCATCCCAGAACCCCACCCTGGGAGTTCTACTGTCCGCGTGGACTGGACGGCAGTGAGTTTGGTTTTCGGTGTGAGCCCAGGGCACATGGTTTGCACATAGAAAGGCCCCATAGACACTGAATTAGAGACGACAGAACCAGCTCTTTAAGACCTGGGCTGGGGAGATCCCAACTCTCTGCGGGTGTGTACCACAGGTCTGGTGGGAGGCAGTCTCTGTCTGCACAAATCCGCGGCTTTGGAAGGCCTACGGGCAAGCAGCTCTAGTGTGACGTGGAATTGCCTTGAGGGCCCATAAGACCAACCAAAAAGTATGCCCTGTCATGGTTTTTAGTGTATTCGTGCATTTGTAGCTATCCTAGTGGGTGTGAGGTGGCATTTCATAGTGTGCTTGGATTTGCATTTTCCTAACGACTCATGAAAAAGGTGCCCTGGTGATGTCGTGGCTTAAGCGTTGGGTACTTAGTACAAAGTTAGTGGTTCAAATGCAACAGTCACTCTCTGGGAGAAAGATGAGGCTCTCAACTCCTATGAAGACTGAACGTCTCGGGACCCCAAAGGAGCAGTTGTACTCTCTCCTGCAGGGTCGCTGGGAGTCAGCATAGACTCTACGGCGGGAAGAGTTAGTGACTGATGAAAAGGAGTCCTAGTGATGCTGCAGGGTGCTAACCACAAAGTTGATGGTTCAAACCCACCAGCTGCTTCTGGGAGCCAGATGAGACTGTCTGCTCTTGTCAAGAGTTACAGCACCAGAAACCCTGAATGGGGTCACTATGAATCAGAACAGACTCAATAGTGGTGGGTTTGGCTCTCATAAAACTGACAGCCTCAGAAACCCTAAGGAGCAATTTCTACTCCATCCTATCGGGTCAATATGGGTCAGAATCGTCGCTATGGCAATGGCGCAGTACTACGTGTGACCCCAATGAGTACGGCACACGCACCCAGTGAACATGGCACTGACTGTCGGGAGAGGACTGATGTTTCCAGGAGCCAAGATGGATTGGGGCTCATTCATTTGCATGTCCTGTCCAGGTGTCCTCGGACAGCTTTCTGGCTCTAGTTCAGTGATGCAGAACAAACACAAATACTTCCGACAGCATCCGCCCACCAATTCCTCACTCCAGCGTCCACACCAACTGCATCACCACCCTCAATCAGCTCAGTCTCAACCCCACAGCCCAGCCTCATGACGGACCCCCAGACTCACCTTCCTGAAAATTAGCATCAATTTTCGTACCCCATGTGGTGAACTCACGTCGGATTCTGGTAAACAGCCGAGCGTTATCCTTTCCTACTGACTCTTCTCCTTCAACTAAAGCATGGATGTCCTGGTTAAATGCATTGATTTTCTGTCAAGAAAAAAGTCAGCGTAAGCAGAAACCCTTAAAACCGCTGGTGGGCAACTGGGTGTCAGGAGCTGGCCTCTGTGTGTCTTGGGAAAGCAGAGGTGTTGGCACCAGATCCCCACCCCCACTCCTGCCTCCCCTTCCTACCTGTAGGTGTCAGGTGAGTGCTCAGGACACAGGGTCAACAATGCCTGTAGCTGTGGCCAGACACACCATCACCACTGACTCCGCCCTCTCTTCCCCCCGACAAACCAGTCTCCTCCCTCCACCTACCCCTCAGTTGGGTACAAAGTGGGCAGAGGGGACGCAGGTCAGCTTTGGGTGAGGGAAGAAGAGCCCCGGCACACCTTCCCCTTTTGGACAACAGCGTGCCATTCACCCCCGGATGCAGTTCGGAGGACTCACATCTATCAGAAAAAGCATTTTCTCGTTCTCGTCCTGTGGGATGTCGACCCCGTACTTTTGCAACTCATCTGTTATCGCCTGGTGGCGCGTCTTTATTTGACTCTCTAAGATGGGCAGAGAATTCTGCAGAAGACAGAGAGAAGATAATGGAAACATATAATTCAGTCAAGGGGATGAGGAAGAGATCCTGGAACTCCTATTGCAAGGGGCAGAGTGGATGGCTACAGATTTGACCGAGGATCTAGTGGGGCCATGCATTCTCCTCCAGGGCTTCCACATTCCCACTTCCAGGGACCCAGCTTTGAGTCAAGATTCCCACTTGGAATCATTCCCCGGCTCTGAGCCCCACAGGGTGCACAGCCCTGTTGGATCTTCTTTGTTGTTCTTTTCCCATTGAAGGTGAGATTTACATATCTTTAAAAAAAACGATGATTTTAAAGTGAACAGTTCAGCAGCATGGATTCTTGTTTTACTGTTAGATGAAGTCTTTTACCACACACACGTGTCTTAATTTTAGTACGTCCCAGTCATCTATTTTTGTTTTCCACTCTCGTGCTGCTTTTGCTTTGGCCCCTTACATTTGTCCCGATGATCTTTACAGCTCTAGGATTGACACGCAGGTCTTTGATCCAACTTGAATTTGGTTTTGTACCTGGGTCCTGTTTCATTGTCCCACAGACAGCGATCTAATTTCGCCAGCGCCATTTGTTGACGAGACATTTCATTCCCATTTAATGACTGGGGCCCTTTGTTGAAGATCAGTTGCCTGTAGTTGAATGAATTTATTTCTGGGTTTTCAATTCTCTCCCATTGGTTTATGTACTAGCTCTGTACTAGTGCCACACTGTCTGGATTCCTGTGGTTTTGAAGTCAGATTGTATGAGGTCTCCCACTTTATTACTTTTCGTAAGAAGTTCCTTGCTTATCCTGGGCCTCTTCCCTCCCCATATGACGTGAGTAATTAGTTTTCCCATTTCTTTAAAGAATGCAGTTGGGATTTGGATTGGAATTATGTTGTATCGATAGATTGCTTTGAGTACTATTACCATTGTCGTGATATCAAGCCTTCTTACCTGTGAATAGGGGATAATCTTCCATTTGTGTTGGTCTTTGGTTTCTTGTAAGAGTGTCTACAGTTTTCTTTGTACAGGTCTTTTGTTTCTATGGTTAGACCTCTTCCTACGTATTTCATCTTTGTGTGGCTATTATAAATGGTATTGTCTTCTTGATCTGTTTTAGAGCTCTCTTCCTTATAAAAAGGAATCTGATTTTTGTTTATTTATCTTATATTCTGTCATGTTGCTAAAACTTTCAATTGTTTCCAACTATCTTTTTTTTCCAATATAGTCTTTGGGGTTTTCTACATATAAAATCACTTTATTTGTGACTAGTGAGAGTTTTATTTCTTCTTTGCCCAACTCAATTCCTTAGGTTTCTTCTCTCTCTCTCTCTCTCTCTCTCTCTCTCTCTCTGCTTATAGTTCTGGCTAAGATTTGCAGGACAATATTGAATAAGAGTGACAGTTTTACCCCATTGAGTGAGATGTCAGCTATTGGGGACACAACATGTGGCGCTAGAATAGACTGTGGGGGGGACAGCAGGGCAGGGCAATGTGTGCGGCAGGCTAGGTCTGGGTGGTGTGGGCCTATGGCAGGAGGTTGGCTGGCAGGTGGGGTCTCTAGGCTAGGGTGGGAATGCATCCGCACAGGGTGGCAGGAGGCTGCCAAGGTGATTGCTAGGGCTGGGTAGGGGGGTGGGTGGTAGCAAAGGAGGAAGGGCTCCTTGCTGGGGGCCAGTGGGATCTACTGCATATATGTACTGGAGTGGGGGTGGGGCCCCAGGAGTGCCCAGGGTTGCTGATCCATGGAAAAGGGAAGGTGAGGGAGCAGAGGTGGCTCCCCGCGGGGAAGTGCACCAGGGGTGCCAAGAGCAGCCAGCCGAGTTTCCTCATCTCCACCCCTTCCCTTCCCCCCTTGCTCTGCCTCTCCCTGCAGACTCAGGGCTGGAGGGACCTTGGTCCACTTAGCTTGAAGTTGTCTCCTGGTTTTCAGGGAGCCTCATTCCTCCCTCCAGCTGTTGTTGTTGTTGTTGTTGTTGTCGTTGTTGTGTTCTTTCTCTGGTCTCTGTCGAAGCAATTCTTTGGTGTTTGTTAAATGAAGGTCAGCTTCCTGAAAACGCCATAACTTTCAGAGGCTGGATTTTTGGAAGTGAACTGCCAGATCTTTTTCCCGAGGTTCTCCTATGTGAACTTGAACGTCCAACCTTTTCTTTAGCAGCTGACCGCATTACCTCTTGTACCATCCAGTGACTCCCTCATTATAAAATTTAGCCATCACCCTGCCTGCCACCCCACTCCTCAATCCTGCGTGGAATGTTTTCAACCCTAACTCTGAGTGGAGAAGAAGATATTATCTCCGCTGAGAATCTGTAATCATAAGCAGCCCTCTTACTGGTGTCCTGTCCAAATCCCACTTGCCGACTAGCCCTTGAGAATTAAGCCAAGGACCTAACGTAGTTACAGCTAGTCCTCGGGGGCCTGGCTGGCCCCTGGGGGAGCTCATCTTCCGCCCCAAGTCTCCACGTTCCCACAGAGCAAGTTCCAGGAAAGATGGACTCCCTCCCAGTCAACACTCCAGCCCCAAAGCCAGAGGTCTGGCAGTGAGCCAACCGAGGACCGGCTTCCAGGGATTCTGCTGCTTCAGTCAACACGCAAAACCCAACAGCAATAGCTGCAAGGAGGCCGCTACGAAGGGTGGACAACGTGACCAATGGAGAGACGATACCCAGGCAGATTTGAGCAAAGGGAGGAACAAAAGAACACCTACAAATGAAAGGGACAGCTGACGGCGACGGAGAGGTTCTGGCGGCAGTTGGGAAAGGGAGAGGAAGAGCTAGCCCAGCGGCGTTCAAGCGTGCCATAATGAGTCAACCAATAGATAGCGCATTGATCAAGTCGCAGTGGCTCATTAAAATCAAGATTGGGTTTTCATGTGGGGCACGTGGAGATGGTCTATGGCCATCCCACACAAAGTGCTGTCCAGGCAGCGGGGCCTCCCCTGGGAGCTGGGGACATGCGCTCTCAGGTCCAACCCAGATCCACCGAATTAGAGCCTGCATTTCAACAAGGCTGCTGCTGCCCTCTGAGTTCACTCCAAGTTGGAGCAGCCCACGTGGTTCTGGGTTTATAAGACTTTTTCAGAACAGAGAAAGCACATTAACCCACCCCCCCACCACCCCGCCCTCCACCCCCCAGACATGAACTTACACAGATATGTGTGATGAGTTCAGTGCTAAGTTTCTCTGCCAGACACGGAACCGTGGCCTTGCCCTCCTCCAGAAGGACCCTGAAAGAGACCACATAGCACGGGCATCCCGCTCAGCTCCGCCACCCAATGCAAATCCACTTTCTCCCACTGACAAGCTCCCAGGCATATCCAGTTACAGCCAAGGGCCTGCAAGGTCTTGCAACTGAATCCTGGCACGTGCTCAGAATTCCATTAGACGGGGACAGGAGAACGAGAACAGGATTTTTAAAACAGTCTTGGCTCTTTCAACATGACCAGGGAATGATTTCCTCTAGCTCAGTGGTTCTCAACCTGTGGGTTGTGACCCCTTTGGGGGTCAAACGACCCTTTCACAGGGGTCACCCGATTCATAACAGTAGCAAGATGACAGTGATTGAAGTAGTAACAAAAATAATTTGATGGTTGGGGGTCACCACAACACGAGGAACTGTATTAAAGGGTCTTGGCATTAGGAAGGTTGAGAACCACAGCTCTAGCTGATGTAACAAATGCTTCTTTCAGGACATCTGACTCTAGAATTAAAACACACACACACACACACACACACACACACACACACACACACACACACACCATTGAGCCAATTCTGCCCCATGGAAACCCCTCTCAAGCCTTGGGGTTGAAATGCACTCCATGGGGCAGCTAATGGTGCAATCACTGCACTCCTAATGCTCCCCCAAAGGAAAAGCCTGCAAAATGAGCTCGATTTTAAATAGTGAGATGTATACATTTTGTAGGAACACAAGCACAGGCTTCTTCTTATGCCACTTTGTGCTCACAGGGTCAGTGAATCTAGTTCTCTAAGCGGGCAGTGGCAGTCCAGTGGTAGGATCCGCCCTTCCAGCCTTCACTCCTGGCCAATGTGCCCGATGTTCAGTCACCACCCATCCATCGGTGGGGGCTTGTGCATGGTTGTGCTGCTGAACAGACTTCAGCAGAGCTGCCAAAGACAGACGAGGAAGAAAAGCCTGGTGATTAAATCAGCCAGGACATCCCCTAAGGATCACAACATTCGGATGCCACTGTGCACAGGATCACCCTGACTTGGGCATCCACTCTACAGCAGCTAAGGACGACATCTTTAAAGACTTTCAGGATGCAAGGCAGCGGAGCAGCACCCGTTGACCGAATGCTGAATTTTGAGTGCACATTCACAGCTTAGCCTCAGCTTACAGACAGACCTCGCTGTGGGCATCTGGGTGAACTGCTTCAGTGCCACTTACACTGCAGGGGGCATCACCACCCACGTGTGGGCATGCCTGCCCAGGGATCTTGGTGAACATGCTGCTTCCCTCTTATCCATCTTCAATAGCTCTTCCTGCCAACAATTGGCTCAACAACAGGTTCTACTGGCTCTGAACACTGTGAGGTCCCCTCACGGTATGTTTCTATCACCCGCTGATTCTAGACTGTCTCCAAATTTTCACATCAATAAACAACAAGCCACACTGAGCATGCTCTAGCAGACATCCGCTCACAGTTATGCACATGCTACTGAGCCACCTGCCCATGCGTCTGTGCCTGCCACACCACTCCCCGGCAGCCCGTGTGCAAACCCCACTCCTCCACTCCCTGCCTGCCAATGCTACCTCTTCTCATTGTTTTAAACCCAACTCATGTTATCCGTCTTTTTTTTAAAAAAGTATTTTCACATTAGGTGTCAGGGCTGGGAGGGTCTTCCCTATCTCAGGATGGAAACAAACTAAAAACCTCACTATGATCGATCGAGTCAATTCCAACTCACAGCGACCTTCTAAGACAGTACATAAACAAAATAAAAAACAAATTAAAAAGACAGTAAATAACCCATCTATGCTTTTTCTAGGATGCTTATGGCTTCTTTTTTATATTTAAAATATTTTCAACTGTTAAGTCTTTTGGATTACCAGTTAATTCTAAGTAAGGGCACAATTTTACATTTTCCCCAAATATTAAACAAGTATCCCACCACTGTTGATTGAATCATCAAACCCATCTGCAGGCAATGGGACATCCCCTCAGAAGGGTCACCAGGAAGGGAGGAGTCAACCAGGGTGCAGTATAGCACCGATGAAACACACAATGTTCCTCTGGTTCTTTGAGGCTTCCTCACCCTCCAAACTCATGACCATGGTTTTGCCTTTCAATTTTGGCTAGAACGGAGCATGTACACTGGTACAGAAAAGAGTTCATGACACAGGGCATCCAGGTCAGTTAAACCCCTCAGGTACAGAAATGAGAGTAGCGATACCAGGGGGATAAGTGAAAGGTAGGGGGGGAAGGGGGAACTGATCACAATAATTGATGCATAAGCACCCCCACACACCTGAGGGGGATGAACAACAGAAACCATGGGTGAAGGTAAACATCGGTCGGTGTAAGATATGAAAATAATAATCATTTATAATTTATCAAGTGATCACAAAGGTGTAAGAGGGAGAGAGGGGAGCTGATACCAAGGGCTCAAATAGAAAGAAATGTTTAGAAAATGATGATGGCAACATATGTACAAATATGCTTCATACAATTGATGTATGGATTTTTATAAGAGTGTAAGAGCCCCCAATAAAATGATCTTTACCAAAAAAAAAAAGTGGCAGTCCATTGATTTAAAATATCTTTTCCTTCCTCTCCCACTCCTCCTCCCACTATCATGACCCAGTTCTATCTTACAAATCCAGCTAGACCAGAGCATGTACAGATAAGAGCTCTCGACACACAGAATCCAGGACAGACAAACCCCTCGGGAACAGTAATGAGAGTAGCAATACTATGAAGGTAGAGAGAGGTAAGGTGGGGGTGGAGGGTGGCGGGAACCAATTGCAATGATTGATGTATAACTTTCCCCCCTTCCCCCAAGGGGGACAAACAGCAGAAATGTGGGTCAAGGGAGAGAGCGGACCATGTACAATCTGAAAATTAAAATAAATTATAAACTATTAAGGGTCATGAGGGTGGGAGTGTGGGGGGGAAAAGAAGATCTGATACCAAGGGCTCGAGTAGAAAGAAAATGTTTTGGAAATGATGATGGCAACATATGTATAAATGTGCTTGATTCAATTGATACATGGATGTTATAAGAGTTGTAAAAGCCCCCAGTAAATTGATTTAAAAAAATATATAAATAAATAAAATACACATGCCTTATATTAAATATATGTATTGGGGTTGGTTTCTGGGATTTCGAATGCTTTGATTCTGTTCTGTGTATGTTCTTATTCTTTTTCCAGCACCCATTTTTCTAGTGGTTGTAGCCCAATGCAGTGGTGGTGCAGCTTATGTCGATACAACCAGCCACCTCTCATACGTCTCCTCCTTCCCTTCTTCCTTCTTTTTGCCTTTCCCTCTAGCTTTCCTTGCGATCCTTTGTTAATTCCCCTTTTATTCCTCGAGGCAAGTTCCATCAAGGTACAAATACACACACAGCTACACACACACACCCCTACACACAAAGACTTACAAACACATACACACAGGCACATACATACATATAAATGCATACAAACACACACAACACAGACACACGAACACCACTTAACAACTTTCCAACCCGGGCAATGTCTCAACTAAGGGGTAGGTTTCTTGGTTCTGGGGTCCCCCTAGTGACCAGAGCAGCACATACCTAAAGTGGTCATGGTCCTCAAAGAATTCCTTCTCTTTCTCCAGCGCCTCAGCCAGGCTCAGCCCATCCTGGATGTCCTGCTGGCCCCGGCACTTGACGATCATGTAGCCCTTCTTCAGGCTGCAGATGAGGTTGTGCACCACGTCCACCACCTTGTCTTCTGTGCCTCTGTCCACCAGGTCAGGCTTGGTCAAGATGCCTATGAGCCAGAGAGTGTCAGTTCCAGAAGAGAGTCAGCTGGAAAGTGGAGCACAGCATGCTTTCCCTGGTGCCTCCCACCCTTGCTTAAGAGCTGACAGATGTCCTTCCAGAATCCAGGTACAAAGTGGAGCCCTTGTCCCGGGACAGAACTATGGCCAGGCTGCATGAAGATGGGGGGCTCCTCCCAACACTCACTTCACTCAGTCTTGACCCATGCAAAGAGACAGTGGCTTGTCTGACCTTTTCATGTTGCTTCTGTAACACGGAAGCATTTACTCCATAATGCAATGGTTTCTGAGCTTTCCCAGGCAGCAGGGTCCCCCAGAGCCTATGTGTTAGGAGACAGAGTTTCCAGACCTTCTGACTCATGAGGCTCAGTGAAATGCAGGCACTAGTAGTTCTAAAAATTCTCCCATTAATTCAGATGCAGATGGCACTTACCGACACTTTGACAAACATGGGTCTGGCCTGGATTTGTGACATAAATGTAGGGCTCAGTGAAAAATTAAAGCCAATTTCAAAATTAAGTATTTCAAGATGGCGACGGCAGAGCATTACACCTGCGTGGAGCACTATGGGACTGCATAGGCATTGTGCCCATGAGGGTGGAGCAGGCCTATCCATGGGGTTTCCCCCTTGTGTTCCGGGAGCAGAGACTCCATTGTGAGACTTCTCAGCAGTAGGACAAGCAGGACAATGAAAGCCAGCACACTAAGGGTGATAGAGCCAGAAGATGGAAGAGGCTAGGTCCTGGCAGCATGCCCGAACAGCTGTGGGGCTGTATGTGGTCTCTATGCAAACTTCTTGGGAAAATAAACTGCATTTAAGCCACTGGAGGCAGGTTCTCTGTTACTTGCAGCCAAGTGCATTCTTCACTGAGACAATTTGCCTTTGGATTTTTGCCTAGCTCCCTGGACTCCAGAGGCAGGATGATAAGGGTTGTTATAGATTGAATGGTGTCCCCCACAAAAGAGATATGTTGAAATCCTAAATGCAATATATGTCAAAGTAATGTTGTTTGAAGATGTTATGTTAAGCTAACCTGAGATTATACTGAATAGGGTGCGTCCTAATCCTAAATGGGCCTTGCAAAGATGTGTCTAAAGTCCAGGAATACCAAGAGCTACCAGAAGCTGAGACAAGAGAGGATGTTCCCCCTGCAGGCTCCAGAAGAGCATGGGCCAACCAACACATTGATTTGGAAACTTAACCTACAGAACTGTGAGGTATTCATTTCTTTTCTTTATAGATTATTTTATCGGAGCGATTTCTATTCTGATAAGGCACCCAGTTGTAGTATTGTGTTCTAGCAGCCATGAGACACTGATACAAGGATTGATAAGTCAACTTGTGACATTTAGACAACCCTAGCCAACCAGCCTAGATGGACATCAAATCTACCACCTTTGCAATCTTATGTGTTGGATGCAGGTCCACTCCCACCACCCCAAACCCACCCCACCAGCACCCCTGCCCCAAGGGTATGCCAAGAAACACTAATTTTGATTTTGGACCCCAAACCAAACCCACTGCCATCAAGTTGATTCCAACTCATAGCAACCGTAAAGGACAGGGTAAAATTGCCCCTGTAGGTTTCTGAGACTGCAACTCTTTATGGGAGTAGAAAGCCTCGTCTTTCCCCCTTGGGGCAGCTGGTGGTTTTGCACTGCTAACCTTGTGGTTAGCAGCCCAGTGTGTAACCACTATGCCACCAGAGCTCCTCTGATTTTGGACCCAGGAGGTCTCCTCTCTTCTTACCTATGGTCCTGTCTCCATCAGGATCCACCTCCTGAGCCATGCTGAGGGCCTCCGTGGTAGCAATGTCCACGTTACAGGGCACCACCACCAAATTGATTGTTTCCTGCTGGTTGATGTACTTCCTAATGAGGGATTTGATCTGTAAGGAGACATGGTGATGTGATACGTGAGACATGTCCTGTCCTTGTATTTGCCTCAGGCCCCCAAGCCCTAGAAACAATACATGGAGAGGACCCCACAGACACAACCTAGAAGCACCTCCCGAGTCAGCATGATAAGAAGCTGTATTCTCTGCAGAAGAAACATAGCTATGGGGTTCAGGTCAACCATAAGGTTTGTGATGGTTCCTTTTGTATATCAAGTAAGCTAGGCTGAGTCAAACGCTAGTGTAGGTATTGCTGTAATTTGGAGATGAGGTTCACATCTACAAGCTTTTGAAGTAAAGGAAATGACTTTCCTAAATGTGGTTGCACCTCATCCGATCATCTGAGAACCTGAACAGGTTTCTGAGAGCAGAAAGAATTCAGGTTCAAGGTCGGAACAAAGACATCCAGCTGGAGTGTCCAGCCAACTGTCTGACCTCTGGCTTTGGGACTGGTCAGCCTCCATAATGATGTAACTCAATTTCCTCCATGCAGTCAAAGTCTTTCTAGATGTGTGCTAGTGTGTGTTGCTAGTGCATGTGTATACACACGCACTCACACATTCTATTGGTTCTGTCTCTCTATAGGAACCTGATGCATTCAAGGTTTTAGCTGATTAACTATCCCCTGTGACCCCAAATCTGATGATCAAAAACAGGATGTCTAAATAAATGAGTAAGTTAATCAATAACAGAATTGACTCATTCCCTAAAGCCTGCATCCAAACAGTGAAATTTAATCAGACTCAAAAATCATTCTGCCTCTTTCTAATGTCCTCTTTTCCCACAGAGAATTTCTTCCTGATAAACACCAGTCTGGATAAACCACAAAATTCAAAATGTCATCGCAGAACACAGACCAAACAAGACATGTTCCTCATTGTGCCAGTCAACCCAACACTCTTCCAAGAAGCTTCCATCAGATTGACCGAGGGGCTGGTGACTCCAGCCCCTACTCACCCCTCCAAACCCCCATTCTTCAAGCCTCAGCCCTGAACTCCCTAGTCCTCTAATACAGCATTCCACCTGTGTTCCCTATCCCCGAGGCCAAAGTCAAACGGAGCCTGAAGTCTCACCTGTCGTCCAATGTCAGCTGGCTGATTGCCCACAGCCACCCTAGTTATGCCAGGAAGGTCAATCAAGGTCAGATCCGGGACATCTGAGGAGCTGATCTCCAGATTAATGAGCTCTTGACTGATCCCCGTCCCTTCCCCGGCGACCATGTCCTGGGCTAGAGAAGAGGAAAAGGAACCGGCTAAATACAGCTCAGCAGAAGTGCTCTGAGAGCCTTTCTACTCACTGCGACTCAAGGCATATTTGGGCTAGAGCTGATGTTCCGTTACTCAAACTACAAGGCACTTCCAAGGGGAACGCGGGCCGTGACTCAGTATGATCTGGCGAGTAACCCCTTGGGGCCACCTTAGTGAAAGACAGCGCCCTGTGTCGTCCAAAACTGAGCAGAGTTGGAAAGGGCGTCCTGGAGTCACAGTTACACCCCTTCACTGATGCCACAGAAAACGCACAGCCACTGATGCCACAGAAAACGCACAGCCAAGTAAAACGGGCGCAAATCAGCCGCGCGGGGCTTCGTCAGGCGTGATTGGGAAAGTTTGTGGGGAAAGTGCTTGTTTCTGGCAAGATGAGTATTGGCTGGGCTTCCCCAAGAGACTTCATTTTGCTCTTTCCTGATCGTGAAGCCTCCCTGGAAATGCAGGATATACATTTCCTGCCCAATTCCTATTGCTGGCAGGTGCTGTCGAGACCGCTCCCCCTCAAAGTGACCCTGTGCACAACCAAACAAGATACTGGTGGATCCTGCTCCAGGCTCACCTTGTGGTGGTTCCGCCCATGGGCGGGGCCGCCCGGTGAATCCATGCCATCCTGAGTTTTCCTCTTCTTCCCGGCCCTCCACTCCACCCAGCTTGTCTTCCTTTTCTAGGGCCGGTCCTCCTGTCCAGGAGACAACATCTCCCCATCCTTGCTTCCCAGGAGCACGCTGGCTGTATTTCTTCCAGGCAGATGTGTCTGTCCTTCTGGCACTCCACACCACTTTAACTCGTCTTCACCAGCACCATCATCCAAATGTGTGGGGTTTTCTTACCCGTTGTCCAACTTTCCCAAGCGAATGAAAAGACTGAAAAAGCACCCTCGCTCGAAGGGGGCACACCTTACTTCTCAAAGGGGCATCCCTGCTCTTCAACATTTTAAAGAGGTCTTGTGCACTAGATTTGTCGATATAATACGTTGTTTGACTTCTTGACAGGTGCTTCTGTGAGCACTGATTATATCATCCAGCGAGATGGAAACCTCGCCAGCTTCAGTCTGTTTCTCTGTTTGCCATGATGTGACCTAGTGGATCAGTCAGGAGCTGGGTTTCCTTTCCATTGAGTTGCAATCCCAACGGAAGGTTGCAATTCTTGGTCTTCAAGTCCTCCTCCCTTTCAGCAAGCAAGGTTGTGCCATCTGCATATTGTAGGTTGTTAATAAGCCTTCCTCCAATTCTGATGTCACACTCTTCTTTATGTGGTCCCACTTCTCGCATGGTCTGATCAGCACACAGAATGAATACATACGATGACAGGATACAGCCCTGATACACACTTTTCCTGATTTTAAACCAGGCAGCATTCCCCTGTTCTGTCTGTATGACTGCTTCTTGGTCCAGGTGCAGATTCTACCTGGGCACAATGAAGTGTTCTGGAATTCCCATTCTTTTTTTTTTTTCTTTCAATCATTTATTGGGGGCTCGTACAACTCTTAGCACAATCCATCCATCCATCCATCCATGTGTCAAGCATTTTTGTACCTTTGTTTCCCTCATCATTCTCAAAACATTTGCTTTCTACCTGAGCCCTTCGTATCAGCTCCTCATTTTTCCCCTCTCCCCTCTTCCCCCCTCCTCTATGAATGCTTGATAATTTATAAATTAAATTCCCATTCTTTTCAATGTCACAACCACATAGTTGAATGTCTTTCCATCATCAGCAAAACACAAGTAAACATCTTTCAGGTGTTCTCTGCTTTCAGCCAGGATCCACTTGCCATCAGCAATGATATCCCTCATTCCACGTCCTCTTCTGAATTCAGCTTGACTTTCTGGCAGCTCTTCCTCAATCGTATTTCTAGTGCCTTCTAACCTGAGGAACGCATCTTCTACCACGATATCTGATCATTTTATGCAGCAATTTATAGGGTTTTTAGTGGCTAATCACTCAGAAGTGGACAGCATATCCTTCCACTTAGGTTGCTCTTAGTCTGGAAGCTCCATTCCAGTCTATTTATGTCGGCTGACCTGCTGGCATGTGAATATACCTGTGGCGCGCAGCTTCTGACAGTAAAGCAACATGCAAGCCTCCGCAGTGAGACAAACCGAACAGATGAATGGTGGCCCAATCCTTCTTATGTGGGATTTTGTGGGATGAGAAGTCCTTTGAATAAGGAACTGATCTCCATCTAAAGACAAGCTCTCTGTTTTCAAATTGGCAGCATTCTCTGATCCTTAATCCACACTGGTGTCAAATTGGGTCCCAAAGCACGGGGTTTTATGAGGGTAAAAGAGGAATGAGCATGAGGGGAGTGGGGCTCTGGTAAGGCGAAGAGACGGAGAGAAGGTGGTGGGCTCTGAAGGGAGCAGGAAGCCCAGAGAGGAAGAGTGGGAACAGCCAGAGGCAGAGCCCACCCACCCGACAAGGTTGGAGCGGGAAGCTGAACACGAAGCGGGTGGCGATGAACTGGCCGGGTGGGTACGCACCTTTTCTGACTTCCTGCTCCACCTCGGAAGGGAATAAAAGTTCGATCTCAGAGTCCCGGTAACTGATCTTCCCTCTCCACTGCTCTTCGTGCACCAGTTTTTTCAGTTTCAGCACCAGAGGGCATCTCGTCACAATGCCTAGGAGATGATTTCCATGTGAGTTCTTACACGCTACTCTTAAAAACCCTCTCTGGTAGACTTGGGACCCATCTAGGTAATTGATCGGGCAGCGGAGTGGGGGTTGTTTCTCCATCTTTTATATAATCATCTCAAGAGATGGCTAAGATGCAGACTTGCTGCACCAACCCTCTGTGATCCCCAGGGAAGACGCCTCTGGAATGCCACCAGATTTGGGTTAAATACTGTTCCCCCAATTTCCATGTCTGCTTGGGGCCTCAGAATGTGACCTTTCTGAAAACAACAAAACCATCTTTGCTGATGTGACCAGTTAAGGCAAGGGCATAGTAGGGTTCGGTATGCCCTAAATCCAGTGAGGGCACCCCTTACAAAAGTGTAGGAGCACAGTGGGAAGATGGCCATGGGAACATGGACACAGGGGCTGGGGGAGGGACCGACAAGTCCAGCATTTGGACCAAATCTACACAGTGGGGTGGTCAATAGTCACCAGACGAGGCAGAGAGGGGTTCTGCCCTAGAGCCTTTAGATGGCGCACAGTGCCCCTATTGTGGACCGTCCAGTGTCTAGAACTGTGAGATAGTGCGTGGCTATGGTGTTCAGCCCCTGCCCGCCCCATGGGTGGTTCTTGTTACAGCAGGCCCAAGAGACCCACACAGGGTCCAAGCATAAGGTGACCAGATTTAAAGCGGGACACCGTTGACTGGGGGAGGGGGTCCTTGATTAAAAATTTGGTCTATATGGACCAAATAGGCCGTTCCCTCGCTTGTTGTGCATTCTTTCCAAAAATCGGGACTTTTTTAAAACGCCAAAAAGCGGAACTGTCCCGCCAAAAGTGGGACATCTGGTCACCTTAAACCAAGCAGTTCCTGTCACAAATGATTCAAAGCCACCACTGCAGATTGCTTGGTGAGTTAGTTAATTGTGCCAGCCTGGCCAATAATCACATGTGGTGCTGGTTGAAAGGCGGAGGGATAAATGGGTGGTGAAGCCTCGCCTTTCTAGTTCTCGGGTCTCTTGTTTTGTGATGGTTGTATCGGGTGCAGCTGCCTTAGCAGTTCCCTGCTTCAGCTTGCAAGATTGACTTCCACCAAGACATCCCCAAGGAGAAGCCGCATGGATCTATCCCGATGCAGCCCTGGGTGCTGGAGCAGCCGTGTGGAGACCCTTGCCAGTGCTGAGATGCTTACACATTCACGGACTCAGCTTTCCTCCTGCAGTCGGCATCATTGCCTCTGTTTTGTGAGGTGGAGGACTTTGTGGACTGGTGTTGGGTATGGGTTAATGTTGGACTTGTGGGCTTGGGCAGCATTGGGTTGGGATGTTTTCATGATGCACATTTTCTTTGCATAAAACTCTTATACGTGAGTTGCTGTGGATTTGTTTCTCCAAAGTACCTAGACTATTACACTTGGTCATCCTAGGGGTTCCGCTACCCGCCCGGTGACAAATTAAGGCAGATATCCCTGAATGTATGAGAACAGTCTCCAGCCTGCCCCCAATATACGCACTCCGTTCTAAGCAGGGCACTAAAGACTGGTCAGATTTGTGGACTGGGCAAGCCCTTGAAAACAGGGGCAAGTTCTCCACAGTCACAGCTTCTTTCCCAGTCTTCCAAGTCAAGGTGTATCTCATTTGGACTTCTACCCGAGCCCTCGAAAGGAGTCCGTGCTTATTGCTCTCCTCCTCTGATAACGCAAGCACATCCCTAACCTGGCCACCAATCCCGGTTCCCCTGCGATGAAGGTAAACTCCAGAAAGATGCCCACATGCCTATGATTCTGGGCTGGGGGTCCAGATGTACTTACTCAACCTGCTACGATCTGCAGGTTATGTCCCTCCCCCCACGATGTCAAGTCACTTGGAGGTGGAGGCTCCAGGCCCGTCTTACTGGGCCCTCACGGACACACAGCAATTCAGGCCCAATACAGGGCATGAAAAACACCAAGGCAGCCCCAAACCTTACCGCTGCCCCTGGGCAGGGCGATGCCCGACAGCGCCTCCAGCACCGAGCTCTTGCCGGAGCTCTGGTCCCCGATGACCGCGATGGCGGGCAGCGGCAGGTCCTTATCCACGCCCAGGGCCCGCAGGGAGTCGATGAGGTCGATGCAGGGGCGCACCTTCTCCTCATACAGGTTGTACAAGCTGTTCTCAGCCCCCTGAGGAAGGCAAAGACAAGAACGATCAGCTCTGCCAGTCACACTCTATAAATAGATATATTTAATATATCTATTATTTGTTATGGTTGTGTTGTGGGAGCAAGTCGGGTGTCAGGTGTTCTTCTAGAGTGAGCGTTAATGCCCCTTGATGGCACAAACAGTTAAGGGCTCCGTTGTGAATGGAAAGCTCGGGAATCTGAGTCCACCCAGAGGTGCATCGGAAGATAGGCCTGGTGATCTGCTTCCAAAAGGTCACAGTCATTGAAAACCCTGAATTGGGTGTTGCCTTTTCCATTTCAGAATGGTCCCTTGGCTTCCTTTGTCAATGAAGCTAAAAAGCAAACACATGAAGAAAAGTCCACACCTATCACTAGACGGCAAGCCTCTGGAGGAAAGGGACTGGACAACTGGAGTCATACTCATGTCACCAAGGCTTAACACAGTGTGGTAGTTATGTCATCTCCTGTCAACTAGCGAAGGGGTGGAGTCTAGCCTGTCAACAGATCACAGCTTGATGACCTCATTTGGAGGCCCAAAGGAGATAAATAGCTCACTGGAGGCCAGATACACATTGACTCTCTGCTTCGTCTTCTTGCTGACAAGACACATGGAACTACACTAGAGCCCTGAGCTGGAGGAGCCACGTGGAGACCCACGCCTGCGCTGAGATGCTTCCACCACCACTGGATCCACAGACTCTCTACCCACTGGCCTGTGATCTTCCTGCGTTCGGCGTGATTGCATGTGTTGAGTGAGACTTAAGAAGAATTTATAGATTGATATTAGACATATGGGCTAATATCAGACTTATTGACTTAATCTGGACTAGGCTGTGATGTTTTCTTAATATACAATTACTCTTTATATTAAGCTCTTTCTTATACACGAGTGTCTATGAATTTGTTTCTCTAGTCAACCCAGACTAACACACGCAGTGCCTAAAACACAGTGTGTGTTCATTGATAGAGAAATTAAAGAAAATTAAAGAAGTTTCCAGAAGAAGCAAATGTGAGCTGTGGTGGCCATGGCATAGAGCTGACTTGGTGATAACTGGTACAGGGGGTATCAGGTCACTTCTAACACTATTCCAGGTCCACCTTGCTGGGCACTCACTAACCCACAGCTGTCAGTCCTAATAAAGGGCATCAGCAGCACCCAGGAAAACCCAGCGACTGGAGGCGGAGGAGCATGAAAATAACAAACCCTACAGTAGAGGCAAGGGATGGGCACCTTGAAGGTAACCTGAGTTAACAGGACCATGGGAGGAACTTCCATGTCTAGCGGTGATGGGCACGCATGGACTAGGTTTGCTCTTCCTCTTGGACAACCAGGAGCCAGGGGGAACAAGAATGGAAAAATAGTTTCCTGACACCGGGCAAGAGGCAGTGCAGGGCTGTATTGTTAGCTGCCACCAAGTTGACCCCTGACCCATGGCAACCCCATGCACAATGAAATGAGATGCTGCCCTGACCTGCTTCCTCCACAGACGCCATGACTGGTTGTGAATTGGACCATTGTGGCCTGCTTCTTTGTCTATGCCCTTCCACATGGTTTTTAATATTATTGAAGATATTGTTTAATACAGTTTATAAAATAGGAAGTCATTCTGAGATGGGATCCCTGCCTTTAAAAAAGCACACATGACAGCAGTAACCCAAGCCCTTTCTGTGTGCTACTGGTCACCTGCATTTTATCCTTGCAACTGTCATGTAGAGGCAGAAAACCCGGCTTCTCTAAAGGGAAAAACAGACACCCAAGATCGCCCAGCTGGAAGTGTCCAGGCTGAGACATCATGCAGCTCAGACTGATTCCAGAGCCTTTGCTTGGTTTTTAAAACAAATACATCTTGACTCTGGGAGCAACGACAGCACATGCTCCCTGTGGAGGACCCAGGGACAAGGACTGCCTGAGCCAATCCATGCCCTGCCTCACTCCCCAGACCTGAATTGTACTCTGGTCAGAGTCCAGCATGGCAAGACCTCTGCGTTTGGCTGCAAGATGGACCCAAACAGTAGGAGTAGAGACTCCATGTCCAAACCTCCACGTGGGGCATATGGGCGGCAGCATGATTGCACATGTGATGGGTGGAACTCAGGTCAGCCTGGGCAGAGAGTTTTATACCACCATTGACCAGCTTTTTCCCTTCTGGACACGTGGCGTGGGTTGCAGCAGCATCTCCATTGTGTAATAGAAGACTGTTGACCACAGCAGTTGAATTGGGCATTACCTTTTCCATTTTAGAACGGTCTCTTGTCTTCCTTTGTCAATGAAGCTTAAAAGCAAGCACAGGAAGAAAAGTCAGAAGCTGAGTAAGTCCACACCTATCAGTAGATGGCAAGCTCCTGGAGGAAGGGGACTGGACAACTGGTCACACTAAATGTCACCAAGGCCTAGCACAGTGCCTGGGATACAGTGTGTGTTCATTGATAGAGACATTAAAGGAGGTTCCAGAAGGAGCAAATGTGAGATGAAGAACAATAGTAATGTCTCAGCTCAGTCGTCTTTGAGAATATGCTGCCATATCCCAAAAGGCTTTGAAGAAGAAAAAAAAAGTCTTTCAGCTCAGTGCTAGGTTGGAAAAAAAATACACACACATATGTATGTTTTCATTGTAAATTTAAATTGTTGTAAGAACAGAATTCCCCATGGTTTTTAAAATAAAGTTACATTTAAAAATAAAACCTTTTCAAATATAGTCAAAATTCACTGCCATTGAATTGATGGGGGCTGATGTGACCCTATAGGACAGGACAGCACTGCCCCTAAGGGTCTCCAGGATGAGAGTGGAAAGCCTCCTCTTCCTCCAGAAGAGCAGCTGATGGATTCAAACTCTTGACCTTGTGGTCAGCAGGCCAACTCCTAACGCACAACACCACCAGGGGTTCTCCAAATACAGTCAGTGGAATCTAAACATCATGGTAATCAGACCCAAGTCTTTCATTTAAAATTTTTATCTGAAAGCTAAGCCTTTCGCATTGTTCCTTTGATCCAGAAGTTCTACATTTGATTCCATTCCCCCCACATAATTTTATTCTAATGTTATGCTTTGTATCCCAACAGTTTTATTGGCATATAATCACATATCATACAAGCCAATAGATCAAGCGCATCAACAAGAGTTGTACAATCATCACCACATTTTCTTCATTCTTGTACTCATTATTATTAGCTCCAGATTTCTCCCTCAACCTCCCCTGCCATACCCCCAAGAAACCATTAATCCAGTTACTGTCTTTCTAGATTTACCCATCGTACATTTCATATACAGAAAAAACATTAAAATACAAACTAAACGAACAACAATAAAAAGTAAAGCAGATAAAAACCTCAATTGAAAAGGAGAAAATATTAAAAACTAGAACACACTTAAATGGACCATAAGGGAGATCAAATGATAAGGTGCTAAATTTTAACCCAACTGCATCTGCAACAACCCACTCTCCCATGCACTCTGCAGGGTAGCAAGGCTAGTCATATCCCTGGGTCAGAGAGGATACACCAAGGACTTAGTCCACATGTATTCAATTTTTTTCTTTTAAACTGAAACAGCTTTAAAATGGGTCAAAAGGGATATCACATGATAAGATATTACATTTTGACCTAACTGCATCTGCCATAATTGACTTTGTAATGCTCACTGTCTGATAACAGGGTTATTCACGTCCCCCAATATGATTGGAGTGTATTCACCAGAGGCTTACTCCATTTATGGACCCTGTAGATAGACTTTGGGCTTCCACTGTCATTCATAGCTTTCTATAAACCAGGTGTTCACTATGCAAGCTCTGATGCCATTCCCTCCTGTAGATTTGGATCACACTGGCTGATGTGCTTCTTCCATGTGGACATAGCTGATGTTTCACTTAGATGGCTACTTGTTTGAAAGCAAGTCTTTAAGATCTCAGGCGCTATTCTTTCTCATAGCTGGGCACCATCTAGTTTCTTCAGCAGGCTTTGCCATAGCACTCACATCTTCAGTGATCTCTTCCTGCGGTCAAGCACCAGGCAGTCATAAACATTTGCTTTTAAAAACATTTAATGGACCACCTACTCATACTTCTCTGCACTAGAAAAAATACACAGGTTATGTTTAATCTAAAAGAGTCTCTGGGTGATGCAAACAGTTAATATAAAGGTTAGAGGTTTGAGTCTACCCAGAGGTACCTGAGAAGAAAAGTCTGGTGATATACTTCTTCTTTTTTTTTTTTTAATGTATTTATTTTTTATATACTTCTTAAAAAAGCAGCCACTGAGATCCTTCAGTGACACATACAGGGTTAACTCGACAGCAGCTGGTCTTTCTTTCTTTCTTTCTACTTGAAATGTGCTTTTAAAGGTTTCCTGGAACCACTGTGTTATATTTGAGAGCATCTACTTAAAAGTAAATGGAAAGGTTTCTCCTATAAGTCACAATTAATTTTATTTTTAAAAGCAAAGCAGTAACTCACCTCCAAGAATATGTTTCTTTTACTTGAACAGGGAACGCTAGTCCGAGGAAAACAAGAGAGCTTTTCTCTGGCACCTCCTTGAAATCATGCAAAATACACAAATAAGACCAAAGCCTGGGGGGGTGGGGAGAGTGAAAATCCTCCTGAAGACTATATTCCCATTGCCTGGGATGAGCAAGGGAGGAGGGGAGAGGTCAGCAAACTGTGTCTTCAAGCCACATGTGGGGTTCTCAGTATGTACATGTGGCCTTGAAGTAAAATTGAAAATGAAAATAAAACTACCATCATTTCATTCATAAAAATGTAAAGGCTATTATTCAGATAACGGTGATTTCATCTGTTTGTAAATCTATATTTATGGCTCTCAGAAATTTTTTTAATTGTTGTTATGGACAGGCTTGGCTCTTCCTGCTCAAAAGTTTGCGGTGCCCCAGGCTAGTGAGTAATCACTTTGATCTCATTCAGATTCCCCCAGAATCCTTTCTCTCAATCTTGAGTACTGGAATTTTAAGTGGAGAAGGAAGACCCAGTGCCTGGCTGTACAGCCCCTGCCCGAATCCGGTCAACATTGTTATGGTTGCTGCCTTGGCTGCTTTTTCTGGGCCCCTGGCCAAGAACCAGGCAATCTCTGTCCATAGGGGCAGGAAGGCTGTTAGTCTGCTGCCTCACTCACTCACTGGCCCTCTGGCTCCGGAAAAGCTTTTACCTTCCCAAACCCACTGGCATTGAAAATGTTTTATGACGAAGAAATCGTTGAGCATCTTGTCGTCTCAATCAAATGAACTGTGCTCCTGAAACTGCACTGGGTGTGAACGGGGTGCAAGAGTGTGCCCACCCCGGGGAAGGGACCAGGGTGAGGCCAGGCAGAAAGGAAAGTCGGGGTGGACTTGACCTGCTTGAGACTGATAACTAATGGTAGGCAACATCTGACACTGCTTCCAATTTTAAAAAAATCTTATTTTTAAATCTGACCCAAGAATTAACTCTACCCATGCAGCGCCAGCTTCAGGGAAGGAACTCCTGAGCTAAACAGACCATTGAACCTGAGCGCTTTCCTGCGCATGCCCTGAGTTTCCCTGCAGCGCTTCTCCACCAGGGTGGAGTTCCACTGTCCTGAGCATCCTTGTCAGATCCTTCCCACTTACAGCAGGATCTGTGACGGCCCCTGCTACGTAGACTTCGAGGTACCTTCATTCTAGCGGTTGTGCAGTTCGCACTCGCTAGCAGGACACGTGTCTTATAAACTGCTAGCAGCCTTTGCAGCTATGGATCGAAACATGTATGACTTCACCGCCCCCACCCCCCACCCCAGTCCCCAATTAACTGGAGTCCCGGACCCTCCTTCCTGACCGGTCTACTTTCTAACCCCTTCACCACCACCACCCCTCCCCAAGAAAACGGACACCTATTCGGCGCTGGTGTTTTGATGG